AAAAAAAAAAAAAAAAAAAAAGGGTAAACTGGCCAGGCATGGTGACTTACACTTGTAATCCCAGCACTTTGGGAGGGTGAGGCAGGAGGCTCACTTCAGGTCAGGAGTTTAAGATCAGCCTGGCCAACATGGCGAAATCCTGTCTCTACTGAAAACACAAACATTAGCTGGGTGTGGTAGCACGTGCCTGTAATCCCAGCTACTTGGGTGGCTGAGACACAACAGTTGCTTGAACCTGGGAGGTAGAAGAGGTTGCAGTGAGCCAAGATTGTGCCACTGCACTCCAGCCTGGGCGACAGAGCAAGACTCTGTCTCAAAAGAAAAAATAAAAAAGGTAAAGTATCTACTTTTTCACCCCTCCCTGCCTTGTCTTTTTCCATAGCACTTATATTTGCTTATTTCATCACGATGTGGCTTACCATATATTAGACTTACATAGAGATATGGATTTGAGGACTGTAAGTTCCATGAGGGCAGGGGATTCTGTTTATTTTGTTCCCCATGGTATCCCCAGTACTTAAAACAGCGTAACTCATAACAGGTGTCTGATAATAGATGTTGAATAAATACCAGCATACAGAAGATGCATATTTATATGTATTTGTTCACTGACATCTACTCAGATACCAAGACACCAAGACACTTCTACGCACAGAGTGCACATGGACACCAAGCTGTCTAGTCAGTTGGGTCCACACAGGGACATCACACGCCCCAACACAGAGGCACATTTGTGTATACTCCTGTGCACATCTACACAACACAGATACTCAGACCTTCACACTAACACAGCTAGGGCACACCCTAACAAGCACACACAGACACTGTGGTTGTGTCACAGCTTGGTGGCCAGAGTGTATGGGACGCTCACTGTGTGCCAGGTGCTGTTCTGAGTGCTTTACAGGCGTTATGTCACCAGATCCCCACAACAGCACATGAAGGTAGAGATTACTATTATCCTCATTTTACAGAAAAGGAAACTAAGGTTCGGGGAGGAATGAGGACTTAGCCCTGTCACAGAATGAGAAAATAGCAGAGCCGGGCCTCTAGCTCTGAGCCACCTGCCTCCCAGGCCTGGGACCAACCATTAAACGCTCCTACCTTTCTGACACCACACCCACCCTTCGTATAGATGAATGGGCATGGTCATCCAGCCCCACTCATGTAAACATGTCCTAGACACACTCAGATGGGGACTGTGGCCATCTTCCCTGGCCTGCATCACCCAGATTGCTGGACATACCTGCCCATGCAGGTGACACAGCTGGCTATCCAGGCACCCTCTGAGAGACACATGGCCACACACAGTCTGGGAGACCTACTCCCACCAAGACACAGGAAGCACACACACCTTCCCCGCTGTCAATTCCATTTCCCAGAAAAGACACTGGAGCCACTTCCTCACTCCTGACCCACCCAGTTTCCCATTCCTGGGGAGAGGGAAGTTATTTGAGGGCTTGAGGGTGGCAGCTCAGGGGCCTTTGGGGCTCCCCTGGCTAAGCAGCCTCTTATCCATCCCACCCCCGCCTCTGTCCCACCACAGCTGTCAGCTGCACTGATGTTTGATGCCGTGCACGTGGTGGTGAGCGCTGTCCGAGAGCTGAACCGCAGCCAGGAGATCGGTGTGAAGCCGCTGGCCTGTACATCGGCCAACATTTGGCCCCATGGGACCAGCCTCATGAACTACCTGCGCATGGTGAGCCTGAGCAGGGGTGGGTGGAGGAGGCAGGGCATGGCCACCTCAGGTGGGAGCACTCACTGTGTCCACCCTGTGGCCCTCTGCCCTCCCCGCTCCTCCCACCGTACCCACTGCCTCCCCTGTCCACTCCCGGCTGCTGCTGCCTGTCTGGGTTGCTCGCTCTCTCTCTTTCCGAGTCTTGCCTTCTTCATGCCTTTTGTCCCATCTCCCCTTGCTTCCTTGCATGTTATCTTGCTGTTTTGACTGTGATCTTCCTCTTTCTTCTCTCTCTTGTCCCCTCCACCCTGGTCTGTCTGTGCCTTTCTTTGTGGATGTCTCATCACGCTGGGCCTTCCCTGCCCATCTCTGGGCCCCTGCATCCTCCCTCTGCCCTGCCTCCCCACCCTGCCAGGTAGAGTATGATGGGCTGACCGGGCGGGTCGAGTTCAACAGCAAAGGGCAGAGAACCAACTACACCCTGCGCATCCTAGAAAAGTCCCGGCAGGGCCACCGTGAGGTGAGCAGACCCAGGGCGACGCCAGAGCCCTGCTGGGGTGAGGGTGGGGGCAGGCCCAGAGGCTGCCATGACCTTGGGCAGGGCCTGAGCTGACAGCACCCTCTCTGCCCCCTAGATTGGGGTGTGGTACTCTAACCGCACCCTGGCCATGAATGCCACCACCCTGGACATCAACCTGTCGCAGACACTGGCCAACAAGACGCTGGTGGTCACAACCATCCTGGTGAGTGGCCCTAGACGGGGGCCTGGGAGTGGTAAGTGAAGGGGCCTGAACGCTGGGCCTTCCCTGACGCTGCCCTGAGCCCAGTCCTAGCTCCCACCGTGAGGTGGAGGGATGCATTGGCTGGCACAGCGCACAGGCCAGTGGGGGCCGGGATTCCTGCACCCAGCAACTCCAGGTTGTGAATAAGGCACTACCATCCAAAATGCTGCCAGAGCAGGGAGGGAGCAGACTGCCCTCAGGGCCAACTTTAACCCAGCTCTTTGCACAGTGTCTGGCCCTGGTCAATCCTGGTGAATCATGATTGCCATAACAGTTGTTTTGCCACCTTTGACGACAACATGTATCAACAATGCCAACTCAGTGTCCATCTTGAAGTTGTGGAAACTGAGGCTTAGAGAGGGAGGCAACTTGCCCAGGGTCACACAGCAAGTACCCAGCACAGGCCAGGACTGAAAGCTATGTCTCTAATCCTTCAGAGCCCGAGTCTTGACCTCTGTGTTCTGAAGCTCCAGACCTCTCAGTACCCAAGCACCAGCGAGGGGCATTGTCCTGTAGCCCTGAGAGTGCCACTCCTGCATTTCGCCAAATCAGAGGCAGAGGGGCCTTTGTACGTCAAGTATTTATTGAGCACCTGTTCTGCACCAGGCACTGTGCTAGGCCCTTTCCAAGCGTCATTCTTTAGACCTCATGGCTACCGTTGTGAGCTTCGTCTTATTTCCCCGTTTTGAGGATAAGGAAGCAGGTCACACAGTGAGTTCCCGGCAGAGCTGAGTGTCCAGCTCAGAGCTAGTGCCCTCTCTGCTGCACCATGCTGCCTCCTGCCAGGCACAATGGGCTTCCTCCCTGGCCTTAGGAGGTCAGGGAGGGGGTGATGCACAGGCCTGGCGAGCAGGAGGCTTCCCCAAGCAGCTGGCCTGGAGGCTGGACACGCCAGGCAGCCACGCTCTTCAGAGCGGCCAAGTCTGCAGCCTGTCAGCATTTGTTGTTACTGAGGGAGCTGCTCAGTAACTCTGAGCTGTGTCAGCTATTAGCTGTGGATGCTGACATTCAGAGAGGGTTACAAGAGGGTTTTGCAGGATGTTAGAGGGCCCCCTAAAGCAGTGAGTCGCAGAGCAGTTCCCTCGGTCCCTAGGGAACTCCTGATCTAAAATGGACCTCGAGTCCCTCTGGAGCAAGGCCAGTGATCCTGTTGTGGAGGGATAGATGGCCTGCAGATGGGAAACCAGACACCTCCTAACAGCCTCCCCAGGGGACCGTGGAGGCTTGGCTAGGAGCAGTCAGACCCTCTGTGCTGCGGTATGCGGTCAATCCCTGAAGCCTGTGGAGGCAGAAAAGTTGGGGGCCTTGGTGGGGAACAGGGTGCAGAGGTCAGGGAGGGGAGGTCAGGAGAGCTGAGTCATGACCCTGGGAGCTTCGAGTGTCTTCTTCACTCTCCTCCCCGCTTCTTCTCAAGGCCTGGGAGCTTGTATTTTTCTTCCCTTCGTGATGTTCACCCATCTCTTGATGGGTTGATTCACTTATTCATTTGGTCCATAAATATTTACAAAAGCTGTATGGTGCTGGCCCTTACATTCTAGAAGCACAGAAATGAGTCAGGTGCTCTCGGGTGGCACTGGGAGGTGGTCCCAGTCTGATGGAGGAGACAGACCTGGACACAGTCATTCCCACAATGAGGGCCTCCCAAAGAAAGGAGGGACTGAGTCAGCTTTAAGAGGCTGGAAGAAGACTTCCTGGTAGAGGTGACCTTAGATGGGGTTGCATAGGAGTTGGGTGTGCGGAAAATATCCCAGGCAGCAGGAGCGGCAGGAGGGGCAGGAGCCAGGGTTTTAGGAGGTGTTTGTCAGTTTGAACAGGGAGGCAACAGCCTCTGTGTACACAGTCAGACAAGCCCTGTTCATTCGCTGGTATTGCCTGACATGGGTTTCTTGGCAAGACCTGTGTCAGGTACTTGGAGATTCAGATGTGACTCAAACTGGGTGCCTAGGGCAAGATGTGGGTTAGAACTTGTCTCATTCGCTGCTCTATTCCCAGGGCCTAGAGCCGTGACTGACACCTAGCAAGTACAGAGGGTTGTGGTGAGTGATGGGACAGAGGCAGCCTAGGGGCTGCGGGGCAGCAGGTGGGGAAGGGGCTCTGAAGGACCTAGTTGTCCTGTGCTTTACCTTGGAGAGAGAGTGTTGAGCAGGAAGGGGCGGGGCCAGATCTGGAGTCAGGAAAGCTCCTTGTTGGCCCTTGAGGGATGCTGCTAGGGATTAGAGGTGGTCCAGGTGTGGGAGCGAGGGGCTCTGGTGATGGGAGTGCAGGCTAGCGCTGCCCCTGGGGCAGGCTCAGAGATCTCGTGCTGAGATAGGATGGGCTGGCACTGAGATGGAGAGAGGCCCCAGCTGGGGTTCAGAAGTCCCATGGAGTTGAGACAGTGCAGGGGCCTGCCCTCCTCAGCCCCTGGTCTTGCCCCAGTCTTGGAGAATTTCTCAGGGCCCCCAGGTGGTCCTGAGGATTCCCTTCATTGAGCTGAGACACCTCACCCTGCCCTTTGGTGACTAGTGTGGCAGTTAAGAGTAGTCTCTCTGCTGCGGACAGAGGGACCTCAGTCCCATTCCTCTGCTCTTATTAGTTCAAGTCCCTTAACTCTCCAGTCTCCTTTGCTTTATCTGTAAAACGGGTCTGCATCTCACCTTGAGGGGCAGTGAGAGGATCACATGAACTAAGAAGGCCCTTGCAGTACCTAAGGTACACGTGAGAGAACCTCCCTCCCTCCCTCCCTCCCTCTCCCGAGCTTGTGGTTCATGGCTTTGAGCGTTGTGCCAAGCCCTGTGCTCATGTGACTCAATCTTCACAGAAGCACTGATTTTCAGATAAAGAAACTCAGGCATGGGAGGGTTAAATGACATGCCCGAGGTTGCCCAGCTAGAAGGCAGCAGAGCCCACATGCTTGTCTTTTGCACCACATTGCTTCTAATATTTTTTATTCTTATTTTTTTGAGATGGAGTCTCACTCTGTCACTGAGGTTGGAGTGCAGTGGCACGATCTCGGCTCACTGCAAGCTCTGCCTCCCAGTTCACGCCATCCTCCTGCCTCAGCCTCCCGAGTAGCTGGGACTCCAGGCGCCTGCCACCATGCCCAGCTAATTTTTTTGTATTTTTAGTAGAGACGGGGTTTCACCGTGTTAGCCAGGATGGTCTCAATCTCCTGACCTTGTGATCTGCCTGCCTCGGCCTCCCAAAATGCTGGGATTACAGGCATGAGCCACTGCGCCCGGCCATGTTGCCTCTATTATTTCTACTTCTTTCTGAGCCCTCAGGGCTGTGTCCTGGGCCTGGCACTGCCATCCACACACTGTGTGACCCTAGCAGGTCTCTTCTGTCTAGCCTCGGTTTCCTCCTTTAAAGTGGGGGGATTAAAGTATTCCTAGCAGTCTGGGCATGGTGGTTCACACCAGTAACCCCAGCACTATGGGAGACCGAGGCGGGAGGATCACTTGGGCCCATGAGTTCGATACCAGCCTGGGCAACATGGCGAAACCCCATCTCTACTAAAAATACAAAAATTAGCTGGGCGTGGTGGTGCGTGTCTTTAGTCCCAGCTACTTGGGAGGCTGAGGCAGGAGGATTGCTTGAACCTGGGAGGTTGAGGCTGCAGTGAGCCCAGATCATACCACTGCCAGGGTGACAGAGTGAGACCCTGTCTAAAAATAATAATAATTAATAAATGCGTGAATAAAATATTCATAGCAGAGTGAGGAGGTTGGACTAGATCATTGTTGTTTAAACTACACTCCAGGAAATCCTGGACAAGGATTTGGATCCCAGGTTCATGAAAGCGTCCAAGCAATCAGCTTGTAAGGAATGTTCTGGAACCTACCCTACTTTAATTTTTTGTTTTTACTTTCCAGAGATTTTCATTGAAGTGTAACACACATACAGAAATGTGCACAAATTGTGTTACTTCTCACTGAAGTTTCAAAAACTGAACACACCTGTGTAATCAACCAGCTGTCCCCAACCCAAAGCCACCCCATGCCCTTCCAATCATTAACCCTCCAAGGCTAACCCCCATCTCAGCTTCTGTCACCACAGATCAGCTTTGCCCACCCTTGAACCTCATATAAATGGCATCGTACTATGTGTTCTCTCTTGAGACTGGCTTCTTCTGGCAACATTATGAGATTCATCTGTGGCATTGCAGGTGGTGTAGTCTCATTGTTGTATGTTGAATGTACTGCAATTTCCTGATTCGTCAACTCTGGATTGATGTTTGTTTCTGGCTTTTTGCTGTTAGGTATAGTACTGCTAGGAAGGTTCTCTTCTATGTCTTTTGGTGAACGTGTATTGGTGTTTCTGTTGGGTGTGTTCTAGTTGCTGAGTTGCAGGGTGTTTGTCTCAGCTTTAGCAGTTATTGTAAAAGTGTTTTCCAAAGTGGTTGAACCACTTTCACTTTCATTCCCAGCAGCAGCAAATGAATGAGAATTCCACTTGCTCCTTGTTTTGTCAGTGGTGAGTGTATAAAGATACCAACCATATATGGTGGTTTTCATTTGCATTTCCCTGATGATCAGGGAGGTAGAACACCTTTTTGTGTTTATTGGCTATTTGATTTTTCTTTGTTTTTGTTTTTTGAGAGAGGGTCTTGCTCTGTTACCCAGGCTGGAGTGCAGTGGCCCAATCGTAGCTCACTGCAGCTTCAACCTCCAGGCTCAAGCGCTTCTCCCATCTCAGTCTCCTGAGTAGCTGGGACCACAGTCGTATACCACCACACCCAGCTAATTAAAAACAAAATTTTTTTTAATTGACAGGGTTTTACCATGTTGCCAAGCCTGGTCTTGGATTCCTGGGTTCAAGGGATCCACCCACCTTGGCCTCCTAAAGTGCTGGAATTACAGGCATGAGCCACCACACCTGGCCCTTTATTGGCTATTTGGAAACCCTCATTTGTGAGGTTCCTATTCATGTCTTTTTCTATTTAAAAAAAATTGGGATATATGACATTTTTATTGATTTGT